TGTGATACTTGTGAATTTGTCAAGCATAAACATTTTTGTCATTATTCTCTCTGATGTGTGGGTTCTTCCCGTGTTGTGTCTATCTGTGGTTATCATTGATTTGTCACTTTTATTGATGGTTATTCTTGTCTTGAATTTACTTACTATGCAATAATAGCGATAGTGGGACTGAGTACATTGATGGAGAATTTCGTTATTACCTTAATGAGAGTGACATTCTTTATCAAACCACTTGGGAGAGTACCCCAGAACAATATGGTGTTGCTGGGTGACAAATTTTTCGTCTTCGTGAGGTTGCTCGTTCATTGATATTTACTATGAATGTTCCTCAGTTTTTACGGGGAATGTCATTCTTATTGATGCTCATCTTATTAATGGTCTACCTTCAGTTTAAATCCCCAATTGAGTGTCTCCTTGAGGTTTCTTCTATTCCTGCTATTTCTTCAATTCCTCCTAAAGTTTTTGAGTGTGTCTGTTTCTACATGATTACAGATCCACCGGGGGAAAACTTGAGTTGGGATATAAATGCTATCATCTACAGTCTCAAAAAATGCAGTTTAGTATGGATGTTACCTTTCATGAATTTAAGCTTTTTTCCCTACTCTCCAACCATCTCTTCCGGGGAGGGGGGAGAATACCACTATTGAGGAAGAGAAATTTTGACAGAAGCCTCTTCTTCGGTTGTTATCGATTCAAGCCATTTCTTTGCAAATGTATTTGACAAGGAAAATAAGATGCTTAGTGTCTAGTTCTCTCTTAAAGCAGTGTACATATGAGAATGCCTTGGTTATGTCTTGGTTGTTTAATTAAATGCAACTTTTTATCAGTTGTGGTTGTCTATTACTTGATATAGCTCATAAGATTTGAATTGTTGTGGATCACACATATTCTCAAAGGGGCATCCCTGGAAAAACAAAGTTATGACCTTTGAAAGAAAATTCGTTGATATAGCTCATAAGATTTGAATTGATTTCTTTCTGGGATTTTGTTGTATGTACATTGAATTTCAGCTCATCATTCACTGTTTCTTGGTTTTATCTAGTTAAGAATCCATTAGATCTGAATCAATGAGTTGATTTATTTGACCATTTTGCTTTCTGTGCTCTTACTTTCGAAGGGCTCTGTAGCCTATAAAGGTTGTTTATTCAAACAAATTGAAATAATATCCACTTGTTTTAGTGTACTCGTTCCCGTGTTATTTTCACTTGTCCTGCTGCGACTCTCATATGGACACCTCTAGGGAGTTTCTTTTCTCTACTGAAGCGGACTGAGGATAGGTCTGCCCCATCATGGATATCCACATTTGACATCCCTAAACAAAATTAGAATCTCAGGAATTGTGAAAGATCATAATTTAAGCTTTATAGATGGAATAGGCTTTGGCACTAGGGGTTAAATCCAATTAGTCACAGGAGATCAGAAGCATAGCTTTCAAAGAGTTAGGAGACCATTAAATTCAGTTCTTGGAAACAGATTTGATGGCAATCAGCAAAGAAGTTACAAGGCTGAAGAAGAATGATCTTCAGGTTAAAGAAAAAAAATTATTCCCCAATATAAGTTAGAAATGGTTAGAAAAGATGCTAAAGTAGGAGTACAACCAGCAGGCGAAGGAATAAGAACCATAAATACAGGGGAACGAGGGATTCTTCAACCAATGACTACGATTATACAGCAGGAACCTATCAGTAAAAAGGGGTGAAGAACCAAGAAATTGAACACTTCTAACATTTGGTTACTCTTGCGTTTGCACAGATGGCTCTCAGGCCTAAAGGTGGGAACCCCCACCCCTCTCAGAATCTGCAGCCAAACTTCTTCATTCTGATTCAAGATTCATGCGTTCCTATGTATCCCCAGGAATCTATAGTTCTCACACAAGCTCCATAAACTGGATGAGTAAATTCATCTTAAAAGAATATTATCATCAAAGCAACCAACTCCTAGCCGTAAAAAGCTTAAAGTCCACAGCCTAAGGGAATAGTGAAGAAGAAAAAATCCTTGTATTGAGTGCCCTTCATGTTTTTCAGCCTTTTACTGAAATACAACTTTTTAGTTTGAGGCTTTGGAAAATAAACACCATTATGCTCCTCCTGTTCATGCAAAAATGAACTTGCCCAATTTTTTTCTTGATAAATCAAGAATTTTATTATAAAATGGAAGAAGAAGAAAACAAATTACAATATGGAGGACAAGATATCCTCTAAAATAAAAGGAAAACGCAAAAAATTTATCAATGAAAGTCAAGAGTTGTCCAATTCGGACAAAGGCAAGCCTCCAAGCTCCCTGAAGCTTTGGACCAAAGTGAAGCAATGTAAACAATTTTTTCTCATACTAATTTGAAAGGAAAGATGACAATTATTGAAAATTTTGTCATTGTTTTTCATCCAAATAAACCAAAGAGTTGTCATGATCGCACAATTCCATAATACCTTTACTTCCTTCTTATTCCCCAAAATCCAAAACTTGACTTGCAACATCTTTTCTACAATGGGAGAACAAACTAAAGCCTCACCAACCACCTAGAACAAAGTATTCCACAAATCCCATGCAAATGAACACACAATGAAAAGCTGAGCATTAGACTCTTCACTTCTAAAACAATTAAGACAAATGTAAGGGCTCAAAACTTTGTAAGGTTTCTGCACTTACAACAAATCATTAGTATTAACCCGATTTAGGACAACTGAGCAAACAAAAGCCTTTATTTCGAGGGGACTTTAGCTTTCCAATTGAAGTTAGCTAAGGAGAATGACTAATCGTTCTGAGGACTAACAAGAAATGAATAAAATGATCTATTGGAAAAAATATTATAATTTTCAACAATTCAAATTCTTCGATCATAAGAAAGACGGGGGTGAATATCATGGAGAAAATGAAGCGCGCACACACACACACACATATATCTTTGTGTGTGTGTGCGGCGTGCGCGCGCGTGCAGGGACAGAGTCACCCTTGGGCTAGGGTGGGCACATGTCCCCTTTAATTTTTATCCCTTCATATTAGACATGTATTTTTGAAATAAAATTTATATATATTTAATTGTGTGTTACTCTAATATTGTGTTTTGGTGATATCAATTTGAATATACCCCTGTCTAAATAATGATTGTTAACTTTTCGAATAATGTTATTGAAACTTAATTTAAAAACCTAATTCATTGTGATATTAAGTCTAATAGCGAGTCTTAATATTTAATAAATTTCACCAATTAAATTTCAAATTAGGTGCAACTAATATTATTGTTAACAAGAGCGAAACTAGAAATACCTATGAGAGGGACAAAATACAACTGAAAATAATTCACTAATTGATACAAAAAAATTAAGTTCAAGAGTGACAAAACATTAAGGCTCAAAAAAAATTATTATGAAATAGTAAATTCAATTTTTATTTAGTTGAAACAAAATCTGAATAAAAAGACACAAAATAATGTTTTTGGTACATATTAACCCAATTATGTATTTCAATAGAATACAATGTTTTTTAAAATCTCTAAAATTTTGCATATTAATTAAATATAACTTAATTTTTTACTAATATTTTATTAATGCGCAATCACAAGTCCATAATAAAATCATTCTTTATTTAGTTGAAAAACTTATAAAGAATTTTCTATTCAAAATAGTTTAAAATATCCTTGAGTTACAACATTTTAACTTTTGTATTCAATCGTATTTTATTAGCTTATACACTATTATTACTAAAAAAATGATAAATAAAAACTAAAAATTGTTCTTAAAAAGTAACGAACATTTTCTTAGATAAAGAGAAATATTGTATTTTGGTCAATATACAAATAAATCAAGATTATTACATCTGATTTACTCAATTTAAAAATAAAATATTTATTTTTGAGGATTAATGGACTACTAATTTATTGAATAAAGAAAAGACTAGAACCATATTGAAATTTTCAAAAATTTAGGGGAGACAAATATAGTGTATTAAATAATTTTGAGCAATGCTATTGAAATATAATTTATTGACATAATTTACTGTCCTAATTAATTGTAAACCCCATCAAACATTAGAACTTGGTGTTGATCCAATGATTTCTATAAAGTTACATCATTATGTGAATAAATTAAATCAAATTTTTAGATCTAAATAATATTATTCAATAATTTTATATGTCCTCGTCAAAGGTGATCCAAAAGTGAAGGGGGAGGGAACAAGTGCCCACATTAGTCCCCATGTGGTTCCACTTTTATCAGACATGTTCGAATATGTTTTGAATATATTGAAATTATTTAATTTTTTTTTAAATTATAAGATTATTTTGTTATTATATAAAAAGATGTGCTGTTATGTAGTAAATTATAAAATTATAAATAAAAAATTGTTATCACAATTTTATTGGAAAAATATTACATAATTCAAATAAAATTAAAATGCATATCATCTATTGAATGAGTGAGTCTTATTAAAAAAAATTGATGAGATTCATTCATCTAAAAAATTATACGTATTTAAATTAATTATTTAAATTTTATAGCATTGCCCATTTTATTGACCGTGTCCGCGTGATTTTGACCCTGAAGCCACCGTGTGAAGACCGCAAAACAGACGTCAGCCGCCTATTAAGAACCCCAGTCTCCGGATCTAACTGGCTGTCACCAAACCAACTCTCTCCTTCTCACGTGTACGACCTCATCAAATCTCCACCGTCCATTCAGCTTGATCAAAATACTGTTACACGTGTCACACCCTGACAGAAATAATCTGGACACGTGTCGTCACAGATTAGAATTCTATGCACAAGAAACGTGGAAGCTAAGCTACCGGCAAGCCGAGTTAGACCGACCAAATCGGCCACGTCATTCGAACCACCCACGTTATTTCCTTCAACCTCTCTCCTTCAGCCACGTTTTTTTTCCTCAAACGGCTAGTTTTCTCGTTTCTATTTATACAACAATAAAATCTTTTATCGGAAAATACAAAAAGATTTCCCCCCCACAATATTTATCTCCAAATTTATTTCAAAATATTCGAATATCCATAGTAAAAAAAAAAAAAAAACAGCTTTATAGAACTGGGTTTTTCGTATAAAAAGTGGGTATCGATAGTTGAAGGCGGTTCTTTTTTCCTTCTTCAGAACAACCGTTACATCAATCTCAATTTACTACCGCCTACAAATTAGGGTTTTCTGCTTTACAAGGTCTGTCTTAGATCTCTATCTTCATATCTCTATCTATATATGTGCTTTTTTTATGGTGATCTATTAGAGATTGGTTGATAGATACAGTTGTTATTGGTATTGCTTGCTGGGTTTCATTTCTATGGTATTTTTGTTAATTTCAGATTATGGGTTTGTTTTGTTTCGGTTAATTCTGATTGGTGTTTTTTTTTTTGGTTTGATGGAAAAATCAGATCTTTGGAGTTGTGAAGAGAAAATGGCGTTGGGGAAGAAATGTGGGTTGAATATGACGAGAATAAATGGAGGATTTGGTTTAGGGTTAGTTAGGAGTACATCATTTGGGAGGAAAAGGATTGCTTTATCAAATAGTGTAGAGATTGATTCCACTGTAACAACTCCCACAAAGAAACAGTGTTTTAGGAACTCATTTGTGAGTTCTGAGAGGTCTCTTCTTGAAGCCCTGCCTCAGGACATTCTGGTTAGTAGCAATTTTCTGATTTGGTTATATAGATATTTGCTTTTTTATAACTGAATAATTGATTACTTATATATATGTAGTTGCTAATTTGATTGAGCAGCATTGCTAAAAAAAACTTGGGTTTTTGATATTTTACAGATTAGGATACTGTGTGGGGTTGAACATGAGGACTTGAAGAGGCTGTTTCATGTATCAAAAGTGATTAGAGAAGCTGTAAGTGTTAATTTCTTTGAAGCAAATTAAACTTTGGTTTATTTTTGGGTTGTTTTTGTATAAAGAGTATGGATTTTGATATGGGTTTTGTAAATTGGCAGACGTTAATTGCAGAGCAATGGCATTTTGCATATAGTACTCCCAGGAAAACATTGGGTTTCCAAGATTCTATTTATTCGGAGGATTTTAGTGAGTTCAACGAGGTTGAAGCTCCGAATGCTCCAAAACAAGCAAGAATTCGTAGGTCTCGATTAACTGGGAAGAAGCTGGCTGACATATCAGTGGCCTTGTTTGCTTCACCCGACAAAGATCAGTTGCCAACGAGAGAATTATTTATGGAAATGGAAACGGAGGCATAAAGTTAGGGTTATGTATAGGCATTGTTGTTGTTGTTGTTGTTGTACTCATAGCATTCGATTGAGCTGAGGTTTGAGAGATCTCATTTCATTGTACATGTCAAAACAATCTTTACAGGCCATTTTTCTTCAACCCTTTCATTGAAGATGGGTTGGCTTGTGTGTATTTGTTTGTACATGTAGGCAAAACGGTTTAGGGATTTGTTGGAGGGCTATCTTGGCGCTTCTGTTCTGATAAGGCTTCTTAGGGTGTACAGATGAATCTGCTTTAATTTTATTTACATTTTTAATAAGAGAATGTTTTCCTCTTCCCTTTGTGTGTTAATTTCTGTACTGTGATGTATATATCCTCTTTGCTGAATGGTAGGAAAGAATAATGTTATTTTCCTTGTGTTGTGCATTGTGTTATCTGGAGTTACTGGTTTGTGATTGCTTCTCAAAAACTTGGGATTAAAGTGGTGTATTAGGGATTAAAGTGGAATGTTCAGTGGGTACATGCTGTCATTAGGGGGATTTGCTCTGTGTTTGTGTTTACAGAAGGAAAATATCTGGCCTTGAATAGAAAGCAGCTGGCATTGAGTGTGTGTGTAAAGCTTTAAGAGTGTTGGCCTTCATTAGTATTTGTTCATCACCTTCTCTTTTTAAGCTCTACTCCATTTGCAGATAAAGTAGGTTGGTTGGCTTTTTATTAGTCTAGTAAATATTCGATATAACGGTGGTACCAGATCATTATTAGCAACAACAGGGGTCTAAAAATTTAAAATAATGCGGTAACTCTCATATTTAATAATTGCCACATGTATTGTATATGTGGGTTCATCGGAATATGTGACTGTTTATTTGGGGTGGTAATACTAAATGTAGTTATGACGTGTGATAACAGTTAGTAATGATTTTTGACTCAATTGGTATATTTTTGCTTGATTCGAGTGAGCAGAGTGTCGAGACAGTATCTCTTGGTTATACTCCTTCCGTTCCTAAGTATCTGTCGTTTAAGATTTTTGTACAAGAATTAAAGAAGCTATTAAATAACTCTAATATGAGTAAAAAATAATTACACAAGACTAAAATACCCATTGAGAAAGAAAGGAATATGAAAGACATTTAACCTCCATCTAATATAATGTATTAAAAAGTTAAAGATAAATTTGGAAGAAAAAATATTAATTATGCTTTGGTTTTATAAAATGACAGATATTATGGAACAAAAAAAATTATGTAAAACGACAGATATTTAGGAACGGAGGAATTATAATTGAGTATTCTTAGGGACATCTACCTGGGAGATGGTATTTATGGCAGAAACTGCAAACATATCTGGAAAATAAAGATTAATTTTTTTTTATTTGAATGACGGGAGAAATTTTTTTCCTGTCTTCAGTGAGATAAGGACAACTTAGTCGCTCAAGCCGGTGAGTCCGAGTAGAATCGAAGGCAAATTCCGGGTACATGAACCGGTAAAGGGCTATTTTGTTGTTTGAGGATCAAGATTGTTTGACAAAAGAAGCAGATGGTGCAGAAAAGAAGTTGACAACTCACTAGAAGCTGTAATAAATTAATGAAGAGTATTTATTTCCCAGCCCAGAAAGTTTGATTTGTAAGATTTTTCTTATTACTGTCTCTCCATCAAAGTTGCTTCCTAGATCTGGATTAGTGCAAAAACCAACGAGATCCTAAATTACAGGGAATCAGTGATGTAGCTGATGTTATAATGCCGTTGGTTTTTGATTGTAACCGTCCCCATAAGAGCTGCTTTTGAGGTGGAGCTTGCGTTTTTTTTAAAAAGAAACGAAACAAATTTCTTTAATCCGAACCAATCACATCTTTTTGGAGGGTGGGTAACAAAAATAGCGGAATGTGCAGGTATTTTTTTGCACAATAGTGAGATAGTGACACTCTGATCGACATTTGAGGGTTGCTCTCAATGCTTGAAGGGTGACGAAAACCTAAGGATCACAAGAAAGAGTTAAAAAGGAGGCCGGAGTTGTCTCCGGCAATTTCTCTTCGATGCTAAAGTCAGTTTCTGAGGAGGGAAAGAGACTCAATGCTAATTGTTGGGTTGTAAGAGCATACCTTTCTTTCTCGTGTAAGACTGTTGTTTATATTTTCTTGATAGATAATTATGCTTATCAAGGACGTTTGTATGATCCCTTTAACAAGAGGGCCCCTAATTGATTTACCCTTGAGACAATAGGATGTATCTTTTACCTCGTCAGATGGTGCGGCATAAAGTAGAGTGTTACCTTGACATCGATCCTTTACATGCATGTCAATCTGATGTGCATTATTAATGACATTAATCCATCGGCTTCCAAATCCTCGCTGATCATTAATAAGGGTGCCGAGTATTTACTGTGAGACTTGACATTTGACAATGTATTCTAGTAGGATAAATGCTCGATATCACACCGTGCGGCTAGAGATTAATGTCCTCTTTCTCCTTTCCCCCCCCAAAAAAAAAAAAAAAAAAACCCAAGCATTAAACGCCTCTAAATTGTTTGTCATTTGCTCATGAGGGGTATTTATTGCATTCTTAATGGTTTCTTCCATGACTGGTTGTAACTTACTATTTTGCCGAATTTGACAAAATGGGATGAAGGATCCACGCCATCTGACAATCGAGCATAGTTCCTCGTAAGATATTCCTTTGTTTATTTCCATGTGGGTGTTCCCAATGCAGAGCCAGCTGTCTTCCATTGCGCCGACTAATGTGGTCGGTGTATAAGGCCGATCACTTCTTAGGCCCCTTAGACAGTTCTTCGTCGGTATTTTGATTCTTTCGGCCTCAACATTCTTCGGATTGAACCAAGAAGATCCTTCGTCTGCATGTATGATAATATCGAGGAGATCCTAGTATTCTTTAATTATCATGATGATGCCGAGGGGATCCTTTCCCTCAAGGACATCCTCTAAGGCCGAGCATCGCCACCTCTGCACTAATTGGCAGAGTACGCTACATATCCGTCTTTGATTGGTCTGACAGGCCACGTCCCGTCACGGAACATCATCTTCCCTCCAGAGGTATGAAACATTATAATTTTTTGCAAACTGTGCTAGAGTATTCGCTACAACATTGTCTTCTCGGCGAACCCACGATAGGTGGAGCTTGCATATTCGACAGCTGAGAACCTGCATGTTAAACTCTGTGGTTGATATTAACCTCCATGTAGACTTCACTACTTTTAGGATGCATACTGAAACTGATGGATTTTTGTTGATTCAAGTCATGATATAATATGCATATAATGATATAATTATTGGTATCAACATCTTAAGCAATGCCTTTCTCAATTTGTGTGGTCAAGTAGTAACATGCTAGAAAATCATGCCCCATTCTCAATTGCAACAAACATGCATATGCAGATGGCGATATTCGTTTTCCATACGAAATTTTGAGTCAACATAAAGATGCAGTATTTCTAGAGCATAATCTAATCAGCATCACCAAATGCAGAACTGGAGACCTCCTGAACATAGGAAGCTCAAGATCTCATGTGACGGTGCCTATAGAGGACAGAATCAGAAAGCCTCAGCTGGCATCACAGTGAGAAGTCACAAAGGAGAACTTGTCGGAGGAAGGCAGTCACTATTCCTCCAGTATCTAGCCGTTTCTCGGAGGCGATGGCAGTTAGGAAAGGTTGTCTTGTGGCCATCTCTATGGAGCTGGTTAATACTACAATAGAGAATGATAATGCAGAGGTCATTCAACTAAGCTCAAACGAGGACGTGCCCACATGGGAAATTTTAGTTATCATAGGAGACCTCAGACTAGCTGCAAAAGATCATGCCTTGAATTTTATCCAAATACCTTGGACACTCAACAAGTCATTACATTGGATAACATCAGAATTTTTGAACCAGTCATTACCTCTTGGCTGAGTCAGTATTCCTCCAGTACATTTCTGCATGCTCCTTCAAGCTGATTGTAACCAACCTATACTTCTAATGAATACTAATGTTTTCAATTCAAAAAAAAAAAAAAAAGAAGAAACACATACTGGAGAAGAGTGCTATATTCCATTCCACTCACTGCTTAAAATCAATCCCATCCTCCCTGCATCACATAACCTTCACTAGGTGGCCAGCTAGAACATTAATTTCAACATCCCAAAACATACTGAGATGTTTACACTAGCACACTGACATTCAGAATACAAACATGGCATAGACTGCCCTATCTCTTACTTTCCCCTTAATTCTGTAGTCGAGCAATCTAATAGAATACAGAGCCTTCTGATATTTATCACACTGAGAGAGTTCTCAAAAGAGAAATTTTCAAAATTACATGTCAATTAATAAAAAATATTCCAGATTAAAGACAACCTTACCTCCTGAACTCAAGTAAATATTGAGTGCAATAGTAATACAATACTATGTTATTAATAACACATGATATCATCAAATAATTAATAAAATATTATATAAAATTAGTAAACCCCACTATTCTAATACAATAGTTATTGGATGCGGTGGTGTTTATGAAAGTTATTGATGCTCCACTAAGTTTAGAGAATGTTACATAATTTGTTGATAATATTAGGGGCTTGAAAAGAAAAGAGTTAATTATCAACATGAACCCTACACTATTCTATACGTGTTAATTAAATCTCTTAACTAATTTTTGTGTCAATTTATTTCATCAACTATGTAACCTATTTCAATGTGACACTTCTGTCCAATTTGCCATTAATTATAACAGAGAGTATCAAGTGATGTGCACGTGACATAAGACTTAACTATTCTTAATCTCCGACTTACGTGATGTATACGCGAGGCTTTCAATCATAGTTAACGGAGAATTTGAATGGAAGAATCACATTAAGACAGATCATATAGTTGAAGGGTTAAATTGACACAAAAAAAATAGTTCAAAAAACTTAATTGACACATAAAATAACTTAGTAGTATTGTTGGTAATTAACTCAAAAGAAAATGTTTGTGAAGTCATTGGCCAAAACTCCAAAATATAAAAAAGGTTGGGGGTTAAAATAACAATTATCCCCGAATTAACTATCTATTTGGTCATCGAATTATATCAATTGTGTTAATCAAGTTCCTGAACTACGTTTTGTAATAATTTAACCCCAAAACTGTAACATTTGTATTAATATGGTCATTTCGTCCAAATTCCTTGTTAAGTTTGATAGAATTCTTCACGTGCATAATAGTGACCTGTAAATTATATTCTAATCCCCGACTCACGTGATGCGTATGTGAGAAAGCCCATCAAAGTAAACTGCAAATTTGGACAGAAAGATATACAATGACACAAATGATATAATTTAGGGGTTAAATTGATATAAAATATAATTTATGGACTGAATCTACATAAATAATATAGTTGAGGCCAAATAGCAGCGTAGAGTCGGTTCTTGATTTGTCTTGAGTTCACTACATAAAAACCATGACCACAGTCTTTGAGCTTTTCCGCCAGTTCCCTCTCTGAAACGGACGTTACAGAGATCCTCTAATGGCGTCGAACAAACGCGAACTACCAATATCGAACGAACCCGAAGGCAAGAAGGCAAAAGTCTCCGATGCAGAGCCTTCCGAGCCATCAAAGTCTGCCCAGCGTGTGGTGCTCAATCCCGCCGATTGCGATTTAGGTTTAATTTCTCTTCAGTTTTTCTTTGAATTTCATTTGATGTATTTCGAAACCCTAGTCTCTACCAGTATCCAGTAAGTTTACTTTCGTTCTCAATTCCACGTTTCATAACTATGTTTCAATTCGAAGTGTGGTGTTATTTTATGTTTTTCCGTGGATTTAACGTGTAAGAAAAATCCGAACAACTTCAATAAAATTTGAATGTCATAAACTACTGGTTGACGAGAAATATATGTTGGGTGGAGCATAATCTTGTGTGCGTTAGCTTTTAGCAGTCATTGCCTTTCTATACTTTAGTCAATATCGTGATTTTGTCTTTTGAAATGTTTTTCCTAGTTGTACCATCACTGGATATCCTAAAACTTGCATTATAGTCAACTTGCTTCAGAGTAGAAACTTGTAGGAAAATTAGAAAAGTTAGCTAGTTAGTGACATGTTTACTTCGTTGAAGAATCTTAGTTGCAAAAAACAGATGCTTGATAACTTTAATCCTCAAAGTCCCTCCTGAAAATTTGTTTTCAATGAGTAAGGTTCAATTTCATTTCATTGATTGCATTTTCTTTGATCCTAACTTGTTACACACAAAACTCTAGTGCATCGGACACATTGTCTTGAGAAGAGCCCTGGTCCACAATGCTAAAACTCTACTCATGTTTTATTTGTGTGATGACAATCAGGATCTTGTCACAAAACGTAAATTGCCCATCGAACCATTGATTATTGTTCCCTTGAATGCATTTGCATGCTGCCTTAAAGAAAATTGCCAGTTAATGACATGTTTTTGCAGTGTGCATCAACAAGTGTGTCTAGGCTGTCCTTTCTAAAGTGCCAGGATATATCATATTTGTTCTCATTTTGTCCCGAATCATGAATTCCTGCCTTAAACATTGTTAAATAACTTTGGTTCCTTAATAATGTTCGATCCTAATTCTGATGAAGCTGCTTCTTCTGCTTATTATGGTTGGGGACTGTTGATCAAGAATTTGGCCTCTGTTTGCATCATCCTATCATCTTGAGTATTTGATGAATCTTATGCTGACTATCCCTTTTAGGAACTTGAAACCACATTTGAACTTTATGTAACCACGCTGGCCAAACATCATATAAAGATAAATCTTGTTCGTATGCTACGTGCCCTTTAAACCACCAACAAAAATAAAATAACCAGCTTTGTCATATAAAATACGTCATCAACACCATTTCTATTGTTAGCCCTTCGTCGCTGAACGCTAAGTCACTGATTTTTGTTATGAACTGTTTCCATCTTCCAGATTTCAACGTTGAAGTGAATGGCCTACAAGGTTCTGCACTTCATGAGCAGGGGTTTGCTTATTGCTGGTCTGGTGCTCGTGCCAATGTGGGCATTACTGGAGGGAAGTATTGCTTTGGTTGCAAAATCATTTCGAATCAGCCAGTTGATATGGAAGACACCCCTTTGGACCAGCAGCATCTGTGTCGCCTTGGAATCTCAAGAGGAGATGATTCTGTGGGAAACCTTGGTGAAACTGAGCATAGCTTAGGGTTTGGGGGTACTGGTAAATTTTCTATGGCAGGAAAGTTCTTGGATTATGGTGAAAAATTTGGGGTTGGTGACACAATTATTTGTACTGTTAATCTACAGAATAAACCGATGGCTTTCATTGGTTTCTCTAAGAATGGGAAATGGTTGGGCACAGCGAAACATTTTAATGCAGGTCCAGATGGTCTTGGAGTGGTGGATTCTCCAGTTAAAAAGCGACAATGGGAATCAGCAGTTTTTCCTCATGTGTTGTTGAAAAATGTTGTAGTACAGTTGCAGTTCAGCATTGAAGATGGACTTGTCCCTGAAGAAGGCTACAAACCTTGGGCTTGTGCTCTTGATACTGGAAATGCAATAATGGGACCCACTTTTTCAAATACACGGGAGTGTGAAGTGATGATGATGGTGGGGTTACCTGCTTCTGGTAAGACTACTTGGGCAGAGAAATGGGTGAAGGAACATCCAGAAAAACGATATCTTTTGCTTGGAACAAACTTAGCTCTTGATCAAATGAAGGTTTGTTTTTCTCTTTGTAAATATTTGTATTTGTGTTTTGATATTTGTTTTCCGGCGTCTCTTTGTTGCAGATGTAATATGAGTACCCGACAAGGGTGTCTTTTCTAATTTTTATTGCCTGACAAACATTTGACCTCCTTACAGGTACCTGGTCTGCTGCGTAAGCAAAACTACGGTGAGCGATTTGACCGCTTGATGGACTGTGCAACTGGAATTTTTAACACCTTGTTATCTAGGGCTTCGAAGACACCTCGTAATTTCATGATTGATCAAACAAATGTCTACAAGAGTGCTCGTAAACGCAAATTGAAGCCTTTTGCAAATTTTCGGAAGGTAGATAAGTGAAACTTCTTGCAAGCATTATGATTATTGCTAATATTGGAGGAATCATTTTAGAGATTTTTTATAAGTATTCTGATTGTTGTGTTTGAAATATCCTTGGATCAGATTGCTGTTGTGATCTTTCCCAAACCTGAAGAGCTGAAGTTTCGTGCTCATAAGAGATTCCAAGAAATGGGGAAGGAGGTTCCGCCCGAAGCAGTAAATGAAATGTTAGGTATTTATAGACGTGTAACATTTCCTTGCCTTATTTAACTAGCTTTAAGTCTCTCTTTTACTCGATTGCTTAAGTTTTCTCTATTTTGTTGATGTCCCTGCAGCCAATTATGTTTTGCCCATGAGCAAGGACATGCCTGGGGCGGATGAGTATTTTGATCAGGTAATTACTTTAGAATTGAAATTTGTTTCAGTCATTTCGATGAACTCTGTGACTTATGCTTTCATATATCTGGCAAGGTTGTGTTTACAGAACTCAACAGAGCAGAGTCACAGAGACATCTAGACGAGATGAAAATAAATGTGAACTTGAAGCGTGACGTTTCACCTTATTCTCATGAAAGTTCTGTTCAGTCATATGATAGTCATTCAACAAAATATTCTCGTGAAAGTTATATCCAGTCGTATAATAGCCCTTCAATGGAAAATCAAGGTAGTTTACCAGGCTGTGTGTCCCTTTTGTGACTTCTGTTGTAAGTTGGAAATGGGCTACCCGGTACCCTCTTTTGATTTTGCATAATATTTCTGTTTATTTCAGGACACCGTGGATATTGGCGAGGTTCTTATCCATCTCAGCCGCCATCGAGTTTACCACATGAAAATTATTCAACCCCCCCAAGGGATTTACTTCCTACGGATTTCAAACACTACGGCAGTTATCCTGCATATGGTACCTCTCAGCCACCATTGAGTGTACCATATGAAAATTATTCAACCCCCGTGAGGGATTTTCTTCCTACGGTTTTCAAACACTACGGCAGTCCTGCATATGGTACCTCCGTGAGAAATGTCAATCAAATTAGAGAAGCCACTCCTGGGGATGTTGGTGACCCTTACCAGACCTATGGTGCGGGTGACTCCTATGGCTATCCCAACATTGATGACAGGAGTTTCTTGTCTGGGGGCAGAACTGATTCTTACGGAAGTGGCATGGTTGAACCCTATGCAAGAACATTTTCTTCCAATAGTCATGGTGGTTATACCAGTGTCCCAGGAGGCCTCCAAGCTGATATGCCAGCTCCAAGACAGCCTGCCTGCTGGCCTGGTACAACTACATATGGTAGGTAATTTTAGTTATACTTTACTCGTGACATTCTTTTCTCTGGTTTCTGGCTTGTTATAATTTGGTCTTATGTAGATGTTCTTTTTTCCTCTTATCAACCATGACCACTAATATGGGGATGAAGATCATTTAGTTGTCATTAAGTATGGAAGTTGTAATAATTTGTCACAGATTTTGACTTTGTGGTAAGTTAGAGGTTTGATGAAACTCAACCGTTAAAAAACCATTAACCCAATGCCCCCACTTACGTAGGTTGCTGAGAGGGGGATATTGGAGGGAGAAAGACCTTTGGGATATTGCACAAAGTGGCTGCTTTTGGATTTAAACCTACAGTCTTGCACCCGATGGCAAATGCATTTTACCATTCAACTAAGTAACGACCCATTCATATACCAACAAATTTTAATATTTGGGATGCTTGTGTAAGTTGTATGTCTTATTGATAGCGTCAAGATCGTTATATTTGATCTCGTGGGAGGATTGATTATTTAGTCCAAACTATGCATGCAAGAATAAGAGCTCTTGGTCCAGCAAAAAAAGTTGCTTCTCATGATGCACCTGTTTGCATGAGAATTAGATTAGTAGGTGTTTGTTTCTAAAATAGTTGAGGTTCTGGTGAAATTGATATTCTTTGTGTACAATGGTTCAGACTCTTAACTTGATATTGGGGAGATGGGGAACCTTGCCAGCAAAGAAACCAATTTAGCTAAGCCCCCACACAAAAGTAACCTAGCCTTCTGCGTGCCCCGTCATTCCTCTAAACCTGAAAACATCTCCCCCATCTCTCTCAAGGGTTGGTGATGTCTTCACCAGTATTGATTTCCAACCCCTTTCAACAGCATAGGCATTTGACAGCACCAGGCATTTACTAAACCCATCAAAGCTTGTTACTAAATTAAATAATTTGAATAATTACTATCTGTGTTACAAGGTACTGTTTCGCTACATGTATGTGGCCAACAAGTATTGTAAGATCGACAGGAGGAAAACATGGTTGTTTTGCCACAAACTATATATCAACACTCTTTCTCAACAGAATCTCCATTTTCCAATCTTTTGAGCTTACAGGTGTCTACAGGATTTTAAGAATGTGATGCATATTATGTTTCGTTTTGACAATTTGGATTATGCCTCTGGCATTCCTCATTTTTCCAGTATCTTGTGGATTTCTACCGTGTTACTGTGAGTAGTTACTTTTGTTGCACCTGTAGAGGCAAGTGGCTAATGGCAGCTGTAATTTTGCAGGTTCTCCTAATGGAACTCCATCTCCGAGGCCTTCATATGGAAGTCTTCCAACTAGTGTGCAGCATCCCGGAGGATATGTCCCACCTCGTCCACGGTACTACTGAATGTAATGTTAGTCCCTTGCATTTCACTCAAGTATGCTAGAATTTTGTGAATAACAACTGTTTTACTGTTGGACTGATCACTTTGAGGATCGTAGTACATAATGATGACAACAGATGTAACATTCTTAGGAGAAATTATGTTAACCTTGGACTAAAAGGTGAAGCTTCAAATTTTCTACGTTTCAAGGACCCAAACCATGTGATAAGCTTCTCAAAAGTTATGTTCATTGATCATGAATCATTTGCTTTTGAACCTTCTTCCACTATATAGGATGAACTTTATAGTAGGTCTACCTTACTCTTTAGGTGCGGTATTGAATTGCTGAGATTTGTTGTCCGCCACAACTAGCAGCAACTGTCCACTCCTCTTTAAAGCTTGGCCACCCCTAGCAATCCAAGTGCCTTTTATTTACATATCCTAAACTTTATTTGCTCATAATTTGCCCTGAAAAGAAGAAGAAAACAAAAATCTGCTAATCACTACGTTACATGATTGGCATTATTGTTGGTACAATGAGCCTTTGAGCACAAAACTGAAGCATTTACGTGGACACCACCATGTTGAATATCAAAGCACCACCCTATAGTAGTAGGACTAGTTTTTTTTTTTTCCCTGGATGCTGTTTTATTCTATGTGGCAGTTGTTGGTGGTAGTGTGAAATATAATTTTGAAAATGCCGACACGAATTCAAAAAATGATGGGATCAATTAGCACAAATAACATATAGGGTGGATTGGGGTAGCACACAGACAACCCAATTTTAACTTAAGAAATCCGTTTAATTTGAAAGCTCTGTTTTTTTTTTTTTTAAAAAAAAAGGTTTTTGACACGGTATTGTATGAATTATTGTGAATTGAATGGTTAACTGTTTGATTTTACTGGGATGGTGTAGTAATTATATTTTCAATCTATGAGGGACCTGTGAAGTATTTGATTGAGAGAACAAGAGAGTTCTAGTCTTGTAGTTTTCGGTTTAAGGATTCTACAAAAAGGACAAGAAAATAATTTGAATTAAAATAACACGACAGATACAAAGATAACTCAATATATAAACATGATAAGACTCTACTCATGTCAACAAGATCTTTAAGTAAGTGGGACATTCTTTGACATAAACAGACCAGAAGTAGCCGGAGTGGATTGGTCATTAAAAAGGAGGAGTTGATAGATGTTTACTTGCTAGCTTGGATTTTATAAAGAAATGTTTTATGTAATCAATTGAAGTTGACCAGAGAACAATGCTTTAAATTCAAGCATTCCCATGTCTCCTAATGCAAGAGACAACCAAAAAAGGTGCCCGGAGAAATCAATGCCAATGGCTAATAATCTTTAACTTCCTAAGAAGAATGATGGGATAACAGCCTAGTATCATGAAAACAACTTCAAGGGACTCCCCAAGTGCATATAAAATTTTGCAGCTCTCTCACTCTGGTTTGTGAATCGAGGGTGAGTTTTGTCGGGATTGATAAGGTTGTTATAGTGTGATCTAAATGTCACGGGTTCAATTCACGAGAAAAGCTGTTACATATATGTGATCTTCCCTAGCACGGGTTGCCTTTTTTGTTTAGTTTGTTAATCACCACTAATCTAACTGTAATGAAATCTCTCAATTTTTATCTGTGACACTTTGAAGTAAAAAGGGCTATCTGGCATAGATCATTGCAGGTTATCTAACCATCTTCCCAAGTGTTAATATATATACTGTATTATTACGAGGCCCACCTACTTATATCGAGTCTTACTTAAAAATCATAGCATGTGATCTATAGTAAAGTAAATTGATGAGAAATTTAAAGAGATTCCAAATTCGGTAGTGTCATTGGCTTATTGCCATCGTTACCACTTACCTCCACAGATTGAAAAAGAATCAGTATAGTGACAGGCATTTTCATGCCGAAATTAAAATACTGTAGCTAACACAATTTCTAGTAATTATAATTCTAACAAAGAAAAATGTGTGATGAGTATGATTGGAGCTTAAAGTCCACGTTGGAGTTTGGTGGTTGACTGTTATGTTAATTTTATTAGATTCGTTTCTGAGAGAAGTAACAAGAATGATCGTTTCTGGGTGTTTTTTTTTTGCTCTCAACTCTTATAAAAAAAAGTAAAGAAAAATGTGTGATGAAGATGGTGGTCATATCACTCGGCGGTTGATGATGTGAAACCTAAACGCTTCAACATGACAAGCATACTAGTCAACAATAAAATTATATATTAATATGCATGAACTGAAACTTTAGTGGCTACTGGCTAGGCAAGTAAAAGAGAGAGAGAGAGAGAGAGTAATTAAAAATATTAAGTAAAGGAGACATATGGATAACCATTGGAGTGCCAGACTCTGAAAAGTCTATCTGAAAGTACAAAGTCCTATCAAGGACCCGTTCATTCGTTAATTACAAAAAAATATTAACGGAATACCTTTTCTCCTTCAAAATAGAAAATAGATACCTTTCTCGGTCTAAGATCTAAGTGTAAAACATATAGTATAGTGCACGAGCTATGCGATCAATGAGAATCTTTTAGTAAGTCCGCAATAAAACAAACTTATCATTGTATCAACGGCATTTCTCTAGGAACGATTTAGCTTCTTGAGGGTGAGAATCTCTCTGTCTCTCTCTCTCTCACTCTCACACACACACACACACACAAAGATGAAACATCCCTCTTTAACCCATACGCATATCAAAGCTAGCAGAAAGAGTATATGGTTGAAATTCAGTATTACATCCAGATTCAATTCAATTCATTCAACACTACATTATTTTTCTTGATGGGTCAAGATAGGATGTAGTGGTAGACCCCTAGTGCCACTTTATTATTGTGGAGAGAGAGAGAGAGAGAGAGAGAGAGGGGTCCTGCAGCAAACCAAACGAGAAGTTGGGGAATCAAAAAGCAATGCACTTTGCCTTTCTTTTCAAGCTTCTCCTTCATATGGATTAGCTTTTTTTAACAAAATGTTCCTCTTTCTATTGACACCTTTACTCTTTATGCAGAGCAATGGGAACGTGCATGTCCAGGATTATATGTAAGTATATATACACACTTTTCTATGCTTAAATCAAAGAAAGAGATTTAGGACCTGTTCATAATGGCATAACTACCTATTGACACCAGAAAAAACAGTCAAATAATCTCTTTCGAGCACCGTTTACTTGTATAAGTTCGAGACTAATCAATATTCATCCCATCTATATTCATTTAGTGTTTTATTTAGAGAGTTATGTATAGAGATTCGAGATTTTAATATTGAAATAGTATCATTTTATTATAACTTGAATATTACGAATTTGAGTAACATAAATAATTTTGTTTCGTGTGACATAAAATTGCGTTCATTTCATAGGAAGATCTCTTAAAATGTCACTTTTTCTAGCACAATTGGTTAGTTATGCATAGTTTTTAGTGAAAAATATACTTATTTTATGAAGTGGTAACATGAAAAAGCTGAAAAGCTGAAAATCTAAACGTTTTCGGTTCGAATTTTGATAATTTTTTAGAGGGAAAAATATTCATTATAATAGCATGCAGACAAATAAGGAAATGAACCTCATAGTAACCAATAATTGTCCGTCCATGTAAGCAGATAATTACTTATTCTTTTTCCATGTAAGTAAAGTCGAGCAATGCTATTGAGACTTAATTTGTTGACCTAATTCACTATGACATTTGGATTGACTGTGGGCTCCATCAAACATTGGAACATGGTGTTAATCTAATCGTTCCAATGAAGTCACATCATTAGGTCAGTAAATTATGTCAAATTTTTAGGTCCAAATAACATTTTTCAAGTCAATAATTACTCAAGTGGATTCACTTTAGTCATTTGGAGTTTTATTATTGACAGATAAAACCAAGTCATCAATGTTGACATGATATTATTATTATATTGAATATTCTCTTTCTTTGGGATCAGGTCATGATAAATTTATTTTTCATGGATACCTTAATTTCGATGTAGATGATCTATTTTTGATCAAATCGAGAAAGAAATTAATTGAGGTATATCTAAATTGAACCTGACGGCATTGTTTGAAAAAAAAACACTCACGTCCCTTAATTTATTCAATGCCTTGCTCTTACGCACTCCTTAAAAGGTTAAAAGGCCAAGAGCCCCACGAGACAAACTATATAACAAAGCGCTTTCTCACCACGACTAGTAATTTACCCACAGACATAGCATCTTAACACTTGCATATGGACTATGCCCATTCATAATCCCATTCCTCCACTAGTTTTCACTCGAACGGAGTTTATTCTGCCAACTTTCTCTCTCCCTCTCTAGAATTCCTTCTCACTTTTAGTCTTCTCAACTTCAACCTTTTTTTTTTCCCAATCTAAAAAACACTTCAACCTTTTCCATGGAGGAAAAGTCTAGGGAATTCAATTCGAATTCCACCAAATCCTTAGCTATAACCATGAACTTCCTCAGAGAAACACTTTCCCCTCTCTCATCAGACCCTCTCTTCTCAACCATTATCACTCTATATACTCTAATTCTCCTCTACTTCCCTACCCTTTTCTTAAGAATCATTTTCTCTCCTGTTTTTATTTCCACCGGAATTCTTTTCCTCACTGTTCTGAGACTCGGCGCAATTCAAAGAACAGAAAAGGAAAAGGATAAGGAAAAGGAAAAGGAAAAGGAAAAGGAAAAGGAAAAGGAAAAGGGATACGATTTCCTCCAACTACCGCCACAACCAACCGACGATTCTCTCAATGAAGATCACAAATGGGTCTCGTGCAAAACCAATCCAGAGCCCGAAATTGAAAAGGGTTTGTGTCTGGATTTCGATCCGTGCCATTTTTACGTTGATTCCTTCATTGAATGGAACGTGAGAGCACCATTGGAGGTGATATACGAAGAATGCGAAGGCGAAGAAGACGAAAACGACGAATCCTCCGGCGAAAAGAGAGAGACCCAGTTAATGGGTGTCGAAAAATATGCATCGTTGTCTCTGTATTACCCTGAAACTGACTCTGACAGCTCGACTGAAGTGGATTTCCCGATGGACGGAGATTGGGACTCGCCGGCGAACATGTGTTTCAGTTGGGCCGAAGAGGACAGAGAAGGGTTGATAGAGATTGCATTGGACGGAAAGAAAGAGACTGAAGCGTTTTTCCATGCCGAAGAAGAGAATTTAATTGAGATTGATATTTCTCCGGCGACTAGTAATGAGTTTTCCGGTGAGAAACGGTGAATTTTCCGGTGCCGGGGGTGATCTATAGACAGTTAACCTTGATTAATTAAAGATGATAAGATTAGGAGATTAATGTTTGTTGGAAACTAAAGAGTTTTTGGGTAATTGGGTTTTGGTTTATAGAGATTAGTAGTATTGTATTACATCAATGTTTGAGGTTACATTAATAACAAAAATCCAGAGATTTATATGCTAGTTAAAATGACCGATGTACCCTCATCTTCTATCAATTTTTTTTTATTAAAATTTTGATTGATTGTCTCGTTAGTAGGATTAATAATGAAATATGTGGTATCGAATTTTGTTTATTGATTTAACGCTTTTAACATAATGTTATGTTAAGTTTATGTTGTGTGAAGTCATGTATCATCCATTTTATTTGGTGAATAATAGAGCTTGATAAAGAGGTTGTTGGCATTAATTTGGAAACTTAATGCGCGGATTTAATTTGTAACAGTCATTGGATTAGGAGTGAGTCTCGACATTAAATAACTATTAATTTAATAGTCACATGGCGTTAAATTTATAAATTAAATACATATAGCATTATTTATATATCAAATAACTTTTATACTCAATTAGGTTATGATCTAATGTATCAAACTCTTTTGGGTAAAACAAAAGTGTTTTGGGGAATGGTTTTGGTAAATAGAGATTACTATTGTATAACATTAACGTTTAGAGATTACCCTTAGCTTCTGCCAAAAAATTTTCCTTATTTAATCCTCGAATATCATTTACTTCTTTGGCATGGAAGGTGGTGGGGTATCATTAATTCGTTATGTGGTGATGAAATTCGAACCAAATCGTATTTATAGAGAGGTTGTCATTCGTTTACGAATAACTACAATTTTTGAAGGAAGACGTCATTCGTTTGATGAGAAATAAAAAAAAATATTAAAAATTCGAGTGACAATGGCTGAAGCAACTATTTTCTAAGTTTTAGAAAGAAAAACTATAATGAGAATGAGAGAGTCATTCTCTCATTTAAAATCATGCACGAGACTTCAATCTCACATAACCCGTAAGTTATAAAAGAAAGAAAATGAATTCTTTCTTTTTTGATTATCTTTTTCATGTATGTATAACATCGAATCTTTTGTTAATTCTTAACTTTTGGAGGTGTTAATGATTGATTTTTTTCATTATTTTCATTCATGGTTCTGTATAAATAAGTCAAAAGGAGTTATAAACTGAATTTGCCACCCTAAACTCATACCCAATAATCTAATGTTGCTGTCATGGTGAAATGAGGAATGTTCTTAATCATTGACTGGCCACATGGATACCACTCAAGCTCACCAAGCAACTGCATGCTTTTTACTTGGCCTAGCCGACATGTCTATAAAGGATTTTTTTTTTTTGTTAAGGTAGGTCATCTATATCTGAAGTAGAATATTCATAAAGGTTAAATTTCTCATAATTTATCTCTAAAAAATTATCAAAATTCGAATTCAGAATATCTGAATTTATAATTTTTTTATATTACTATTTGAACTATCTTTTGTGTTTGTATAAAAGATTTAAGAAAGTAAGGACTTTTGGTCTCTTGATAGTGCCGCCTTGGGATGGGAAGGCTGGAGTTAGGTGCACAATTTGGACTTGATAAAGGCAATGCCTTTGTTTTTTTCCCTTGACAAGAGCAAATGGCAATATCGTTTACCCAAGTGTGTGGGGGTGGGTCATCAACACTTGACTGAAAGGGATTTGACACACAAAGGTGAGATAAAATGGTACACACCCCACTATGCGGACTTTTTTCTACCCTTGTAGCCTCTTTGGCTAATCTATAGTGCTTTTTTTTTTTTTTGGGATTCTGCATGTGTTTGTGCATAAGAAAAAATCCCCAAAAGTCTATTGTAGGCAATTTCAATGGTAGTTCACGTGTTAATAAAGATAAGTTATAAATCTAAATTTTATGAGTTCAAATCTTAACAACTTTTTAGGGTCAGACATTCTTTGACCAGACTTGAAAGGGGATCAGTCGAGGTGCGTTAAAATTGGTCCGGACATCTTTAACCGTTGAATCAAGAAAGAAAAACAAAATTTGTTATAGACAAAAAATCTCATCAACTAGATACGAGTCTTTAATGTAATTTCATTATTTGGTAGTTTTAAATATGTTTTTAGTCCATGAAGTATATACAAATTCGGTATCTGATTTAATATAGAGAATTTGGTCTTTGTTTTTTTTTTTTTTCTTTTTCAAATTTGTGTTTAATTTATCAAATTTTTAACTTCTGTTCAAACGCGATATTTGTATACATAGATATAAAGAATAATAGTTATGTAAATGAACATTACTGGACCATATCATTTGATTAACTTGACTTCTTTCAAATGTTCTTATTGAATAAACAATTGCATTCCTACGTTTTTGTAAAATTATTCAAACTCGGTTCGTTTAGAATGTAAGTTAAATTAGAGTCGAGTCATATATGAATTAAATTCGAGCTGGACCGAGTAACTTGTCTCAATTATCTGCCCTAAACTTGAATGCGATTATACAGACCTAATTGAAATCAATTTCAAATGCCAAGAAAAGGTCGATAAAAGGCTGAGTTAAGCTGTGAAGGTTTATGTATATACTAGGCCAGGCTCAGCATTCTTTTGCTAAAACTTTAACAGATCACGCTCATGGTTTGATCCAATAAGAAGTGGTAGGTTACTACCGGAGTTAGTGGTCTAGTGGGAAGGCAGACCCGTCTTACGGTCGTACCCTGACTCTCACGAGATTAGAAAGTAAGATTCGATCCACGGGATTTTCCGGTCTGACTCACTAGTGCTTCAGTGGTGGTGTGTTAACAGACTATTCCAAAAAGGCCAGTAGTTATGGCTAATCGAACATTCTACATCAGGAGAGACCCTTATGGTCACGCCCCAGGGGTGTTACTACCTGTTGGTCACCCCTCCCTTATTCTTTACTTTAAAATAAATAAATAAATAAGAAGTGATAGGTTGACCAGGTAATCAAAAAATTAATAGCATTACATATTGCACTTTTTACCCATAATTTACACTAATTTGCACATTGAGTTTCAACTTTACAGTTGTGTGTCAATTTGCCCCTAACAAGATTCAAACTCTGTCCAACATTGTTTTTCTCTTATTAAATATCTAAATTTGAGTCTCATTTTTTTCCCTAGAGGAGTAAGTTATATATATCACTATAAGGGTGTGTTTTCTTTAGATATTAGGTTAGAGGGATTAGATAAAATAATATATGTGTCTACCTTATCTTACTTATACACATGTTTGAATACTTATTTTGGGCACAATATTATCACTATAAATAGTTCAAGACCTGAATGAACAGTGCATTTAATATCATAAAAACCTTCTTAAATAAATTCACATATTTGATGGGTTAAAATATTCCAGTTGTAAAGTATTTGTATAAAATATATTTTTACTCCTAACAAACCTAGATATATACTATACATGAGTGTGGATTTGACTAAGTTGAAGTTCTTGGTAATTTTTAATAGTTATACTATCATTTAATACTCCATCCAAACAAAGTGTTATATGAAATAAAGGTGTGTAGAATAGAAGTGTGGGTTATGATTCAATTCAAAATCATATTTTCTTGCCCAATCATCCAACATGCTACGTATAGCATAATCTTAGATCCTAAATCAAATCTCGATTGACCAATAAATTAGAAAGTATAGCTTTTCAAGCATTCTATTAAAGAAATATAATTCTTATATTAATATTATTAATGGCCCCAAGCCCGTGTGGTGTATCAAATTTAAAATTTGTCATATAATTTTTTTCTCGTTTTGTTATCTCATTCAAAAGTAAATATTCAATGTAACGGATAACAAAATAGATAAAGTAGACCACACTTTTAATCAAGTGTAATTACAAGTATATTCCATGGGAGGGATAGTTACTATTATATCATGTCCAAAAGTCAAAACAGGGTAACCCTCCCCTCATTCAACTCAATTATATCATACTTTAAAAATAAAGTTCGTAATTAACCTTCCAACAATCTCTCAATCTACTTGCTTTACGTTGAGCCTCTTTATGCAACCCCCGCCATTTGATTAGGTCTGTGATTCAATCAACGGTGTATATCTAACTATGACTTTATGGAGTCAACTTTTTGTTGGCCGGTGGCCCCACATAGCTGCCATGTGGCCGTTCATTATAAAGACAAAGCAGCTCCGAAATACAGGTGTCTCTGTCCTGCCTGCCAAGTCCAGCAAATTCAAGTCTTCGAAGCTCGAGAGAGAGAGAGAGCAGCCTCGTGACACACTTACACATGTACGTCTCTCTCTCTCTCTCTCTCTCTCTCTCTCTCACACACACACACACACAGTCACTTTCCATTCACACGCAGATCTCCCACCTTATTGGGCTCTTTTCATTATTAAGCATCAAAATTCATTTTGTTCTTCCCTTGACTCTATGTAAAGACAAGTCATCGCACGCCCCTCTCTCCCTCTCTCGCTCTCTATACTTTCTCTGTCTAAAAGTAAGATCACGCCTCTCTTTCTCTCCCTCTCTATATGGATATAAGTACATATTTGTGTATGTATGTGTGGACTATAGCTTATTGCAGAATATATCTGTTTTCGAATTGCAGGTGGTTTTGAATCGAAAATGAAAGGTTTTACGTTGTACGAGAGATTTTCTCGAACCGTCCGTCTCAATCCTTCTATCTCAGGACTGCTCGTCGCCTTCACCGTCAGGTACTAATGCTCTGTTTTTTGTTTTTGAAACTTAACTATACTGTTTTAGTTCATTTGTTGCTAAATAAGTGGGAGTTATGGTAGAGTATTTTGTGTAAAAATTATGACCTCAAAGTTATGGCAAGAGCTTGATTGTTAAGTGGATTTTATTTATGATATAATTAAGCAGCAATTTGGACGCATATTTCGAATTAGAATTTTAGATCTAAGATTTGAAATGTTAAAAGCATTTCAGATCTGTGATTTGGAATGTAGCATGAAAGTGACTTATGATTTAATTAAAAATAATTCGGAAACATATTTGATTTAGAATCTTTGATTTGGAACTATATATTGCTAAAATTCTGGCTAATATATTGAATTTGGTTGATTTTGTTTCGTGTTGAAGTTTTCTGCATGCAACTAATATAGCAGCTAGTTATTGGTTCCTAAGCATTGCGGTTGCAAATCTGTTGTTTGATGGCAAAACTGCTTCAGCATGAGTTGATTGGATTTGACGAATATAATTATAGCATGCTTTTACCTTATGGTCTCATAATTTCAGCAATCAATTAAGTCTCTGTTGTCACCATAATGTAATATCTAGTATATAATGAGGACACTGGGACAGTCGTATAGCTTTGTCGACATGAACGAATAGCTTCTTCAATGCCTGATGCTTCTATGGTCATAGTATGGTTTGGATGAATATTGAAATGGGAGATTCCATAGAATGCTATAGCTAATGGATTCTCAGCTCAAAATTTTTTAAAGCTAGATGTCGATATATCACATCAAAAGGACTTGGCAAAACAGTAACCAAGCCAAATCAAGCCTTATATCCCAATTATTTGGGGTCGGCTATATGAGTCCGTCTTCGCCATTCATTTCGGTCATGCGCTGTACTCTTATTTAAGTTAAATATTTTCATATCTTTTCTTGGCATTACAGTGATTGACTTTATTTTATTTTGGAGTGTTGTTTATGGAACATTTCTGAAATTATGTGTGCCGAATGCAATCCTTATGCCTACATTTTACCTTATTTTTGTCTTCTCAATTTTTTTTTTAAAGTTGAATATTGATTGATCTACGAACTGTAAGGACTAATTGTGTGTAACAAGCTTACTACTTCACTGCAGCAAGGTGCTGAGAGCATTCTGTATGACAATGTATCAGCATAGCATATAGGACTTAATTAAATACTGTGGCACTTCTATTTTTTCTTCTTGAGCATCCTTGCGCAGTTACCCTCTTGGTCTGATGACACTCTAGTTTAAATGCAAGCATGTTCAAATCTCATAGTGACATAGCCTCTTCTTGAATCTGCCAAATTGAATCTCAAATCAAATGCTCTTTGCTTCATTTAATACAGGGCAAATTTCTCTTGCCTTCCTCTGTTTGATCCATCTGGAATACATTGATTTTTCGATTTACAACTAGTAAATTAAGTCTGATTCTCAGCTCTTCCCACTGTCATTTTCTTGATTTTCTTCTGCAGTGGTGGAGGTCTTGTAGCTTATTCTGAAGCAAAATCTCCAGATGGTTTAAACATAGCTGATTCATCTGAGGCTGATAATAAGAGAAAGAGGGTGGTAGTGCTTGGAACTGGTTGGGCTGGAACCAGTTTTGTGAAGAATCTGAAAAATGCATCGTATGATGTCCAAGTGATATCACCTCGTAATTACTTTACTTTTACTCCTTTGCTACCAAGTGTTACATGTGGCACTGTGGAAGCTCGCAGCATTGTTGAACCAATCCGTAAGATTGTCAAAAAGGTAACTAAAGTGGATTGGTCAGCATACTCCCACAGTATTTCTTGAATGGTCAACTTCATTATACATGATTACATTACTGACTCAATGCTCTCTCTGTCTCCTCAATTAGAAAAGCGTTGATATTCGTTACTGGGAAGCTGAATGTTTCAAGATTGATCCAGAAAATAAGCAAGTTTATTGTCGAGCTAATCAGGAAACTGACTTGAATGGGAAAGAAGAATTTGTTGTACCCTATGACTACCTTGTAATAGCAGTTGGAGCACGTCCTAATACGTTCAACACTCCTGGTGTGGAGGAGAATTGCCATTTCTTGAAGGTAACTTTGAAAATAGTCAACAAGCGCTTTGGCATTGTTTACCAATCTTTCCTCTCAGTGGCAATTGAAGTTTATATAATATAACCTGCTTCTCTCCTGTCGGATAGGAAGAGACAGCAAAAGGTTATTGACTCCTTTCTTTGCTGTGTGTCATGCCTGAGCACTAAATACTTTCGCTCTGTAGAATTATTATGGTACATAACAAATTTTTGGTGGATTTTGGGAATAATGGATATCAATCAATCCAGTTTCATGCATGTATCTAAGTTGCAACTAAATGTTTCTCCAAAACATTCTTCATGCAGGAAGTAGAAGATGCTCAGAAGATTCGTAGCACTGTTGTTGACTGCTTTGAAAGTGCCTGCCTACCTACTTTAAGTGATGAAGAAAGGAAGAGAATTCTTCAGTTTGTTGTGGTTGGTGGTGGACCGACTGGTGTGGAGTTTGCAGCTGAGCTTCATGATTTCGTATCTGAAGATTTAGTCAAGTTATACCCTAGATCAAAAGATTTGGTGAAAATAACCCTTTTAGAGGCCACAGATCATATATTGAACATGTAGGAATTTTTTTACTTCAAGTGCCTTTTGTTTTCGTTCTTTCTTTTGTTGTTCAAAACCCATGAATGATCCTCTTTAGCCCTCATGATTTGTTGTTTGTTTGTTTGTTGGGTATTAGGGGATAATGGCCTTATAGACCTTTCCTTTTTGAAAACCTTAGTCATATAGCAACTACCCAGAGAATGACTTACCACAACTAAGGATATAAGACATAATTGTTTAGCTAACTCTGATATGGATGTCAGAGTATGTAAACCTGCAAAACTTGGGCAGTTCGCCCATTTTGACAGAGTCCTTTCAACCATAATTTGTGCTAGATGCTAAGATCATTTCAGGTGATTAATATTGTAAGATTGTGCATTTAGTAACCAGTTTTGAACTAGAAAAGTACGCCTGTAGCGAACCTCAATGTCTATTTCCATGTTTACAAAATACTTATGTGCTTGATATGCAATTCGATATTTCTGGAATCCATGATGCAATTTTTCATTGCAGAGATGCAATTTGTTTTCTTGGTTGTGTTCGTGTGGTGACATAGACTAGAAATTTTTTATTTGCAGGTTTGACAAGCGAATCACGGCTTTTGCAGAAGAAAAATTCCAAAGAGATGGTATTGATCTGAAAACAGGGGCAATGGTTGTGAATGTAACAGATAAAGAGATTTCTACTAAAGAGATTAAAACTGGGAAAATATCTTCTATGCCATATGGAATGGTTGTTTGGTCCACTGGTATTGGGACTCATCCTGTCATTAGGGATTTTATGAGACGAATTGGCCAGGTATTTTCCAAATTACCAACGAACTTATTCAACAGCAGAGGTTTATCATTGGAGGGAGTGCCTATATCTCTCTAAGTATTTCTTTAAAATTATGTTTCTTGGCAGTTATTTTACATAAATAAACGTAGTTAGTTCTTATGACAAAAGATTTGTTCCTTGGTGCCCAGGCTAATAGACGTGCATTAGCAACTGATGAATGGCTGCGAATTGAAGGATGTGACAACATATATGCACTTGGAGATTGTGCAACAATTAATCAGCGGAAAGTCATGGTACATTTTCTCATTAATTTCTTATGCACCTATAGTCTGTGAAATTTAATTGTTGGCCAGCTTGTTTGATGCATTAGTCATGTGAAAGCACAAGTGCATGTTTCCAAGTAAGAGGCTAAGACCTTGTGTTTGAAAACAATGGTTTGTTTGTTTTAGATAAAGATGTATGTCAGTCCTTTTTAGTACAGCATTTCCTTTTCTTTGGAAGTCTTTTATGATTGTCATATTTTACCTGTGTACTTCCCATGCCCTGCTAGATTGACAAACAAATTCAAACAGACTATATGTACACTTATTCTTGGGAGTTATTAATTGCCCAGACCATATGAGTCCTGCAAAATATGACAAACCCGAAACTTACCACACTATGTTTGTATGCACGAGGCATGTTTATATCTGGTTCTTTTCTGACTCTATGGGCGAGCCAATGTTAAGTGCGTGTTTAGAAATCTTCAATCAAGCTCAAGACAAATTCCAAAAGAAAATCTGAACAGATATTGATAGTTTTGAGTCAGTAGTGTCTTGGTCTTCACATATTTGGCAGCATTGTTGATTTGAACTTCCAATTTTACAAACTACTGGAAAAAAAAAGGAATTGCATATGCAGTGGGCACAATTAGACTGACTGGATGTAATGCTGAAAGGAGTTTCAAAGGATACAAAGTAGCACAATGTTTAAATGATAATGGATTCAGCTTTTGATGAACTTATTGGTTATCACTACTAGTGTGATTTAGTTTTTTTTTTTTTTTTCTAATTTTATTCCTCATTTTTAATTATGTTTAGGAAGATATTTTGGCAATATTTAAAAAAGCGGACAAGGATAACTCTGGAACACTTACAGTCAAGGAATTTCAAGAAGTCCTCAATGATATATGCGAGAGATATCCTCAACTGGGGCTTTATTTGAAGAATAAACGGCTGCACAATATTGTAGATCTATTGAAGGATTCCAAAGGGGATGTAGCAAAAGAATCCATTGAATTGAACATTGAAGAATTCAAAACAATTCTCTCCGAAGTGGATTCCCAGATGAAGAATCTTCCCGCAACAGCCCAGGTACAATGTTGTTTAGATTATATGATGCTCACTCTTGTTTATATCTTTCTGGACACGTCCTTGAATGTTTTTCTGATATGCTTTAGTGATGTTATTGCAGGTTGCAGCTCAGCAAGGTGCTTATCTTGCCAATTGTTTTAACCGCATGGAGGAGTGCGAGAAAAATCCAGAAGGTCCTCTTCGGTTTAGGGGAGAAGGTCGCCACCGGTTTCGTCCCTTCAGGTACATTTTGATCTTCTGCCAGGAATTCTCTGTCATACTCCAACCCCCTCCCCTATCTATCTTCCTCTGACATCTCTCTTATTGCAATTAGTGCTGTTAAATGATAGCAACCCAAATCAATATGCCAAAGGCCTCAAGACTGATGGAATGCGTCTAATCTAGGTCCTTATACTTTAGACCATAACAGACCACTGTACTTTCTGCGCTCACATCACATCCATGGTCGCCCAGCCTATTGACTCGAACCCATGACATGGGGATGATTCTGATGCCACATGATCGGTACCCAGACTAATACGCCAGAAGCCTGAAGGCTGATGAAACATGCCAATTATAGTTCCTTATACTTAAGATCATAACTGAAAATTATGCAACATCATTATAACACTAGGAGCAACTGTTGGAACCTAATTTACTAACTTAATTCACTTTAGTCTTTAGATTGACCGTGAACCCCATCAAACATTAGAATTTGGTGTTAATCCAATGGTTCTATTGAAGCCGCGTCATTAGGTTAACAAATTAGGTCAGATTTTTATGTTCAAATTGCATTCCTTTAACACTAGAGCCATGCTAGAAATTGATGCTGCACAATTGTCAAACTTCAACATTTTCCAATACGTCCAGGGTTAGCAAAATAATTTTTTAATGATCAAGGGCTAAGTGACACTTAAATGGGGTGTTGGGGAATCAGTCATGAACCAATTTGTTTTGCAAGGTTGCTGCCTTAGCACCAAGTAGCCTAAGATTTTACAATTGCTCCTTGTGACGCACTTGTGGCGCCCTTGTGACCAACCAATTATGAACAAAGCATAATGTATGTCTTCAAAGTTAAATGAGTTTTGTGTTGGCCATGTCTGCCTGCATTATATTTGGAGGGTAGATTTCTATTCTGTATTAAACGTAATGTCTCTGACCCAAAATCGAGGTGCTTAGTTACTTGATGAATATCATCTTCTGCTTATTGAATGATGTGGTGATCTTTCTTCAAGATACAAACATTTGGGACAATTTGCTCCACTGGGGGGAGAGCAAACTGCAGCCCAACTTCCCGGAGATTGGGTTTCAATTGGCCGTAGCAGTCAATGGCTTTGGTATTCTGTGTATGCAAGGTAAGCTATTATGCTATTGACACAATAAAATTAGCAAGTTTATGATACTTTATTCTGATTGTTGATTAATTTATTTTCATTTTTTCCTACACATTCAGCAAGCTAGTTAGTTGGCGGACTAGGGTATCAGTGATATCAGAATGGATAATGCGTTTCATTTTCGGGAGGGATTCAAGCGGCATATGAGGCAGCTAACAAGTTCTCGATTCTCGATAAGTGTAATGGGAGGTGTACGTTTTGTTAATTATATATATATATATTCGCTAGTTTACTTGTGATTTTTGGCATTTATTTTTGCTAATTATAGTAAAAATTATAGAGTGCACATTAAACTGCATAATCGATCAAATGATTTACAAATACTAAAGTGATAACATGATTATGCATCTAAAGAATAATAAAGTTTTTATGAAACGTTTTAAAAGTATAAAAATTCGCTGAAGAACGTTTGTATATATTAGGCTTACCAAATTTGGGTATAGTGGCTTTAATAAACTTTTAAGTATTAAATAAGATATAATTAAATAAATTATTGTCTTATTTCTATCAATTAAAAGAAAAAAAAATAATTTGTTGAAATATACGTGCCCATTTTAACACAATTTTCTGGTTTCACCCCCGATTACAAGCGATGTATCCAATGAAGTACATTATGGCTTGAAGGTACTATTCCGGTAATCAAATGTCACTGGTATTGCCTAAGAGTTGGATGATCAAATGGGGCCCTGCAACTCTTAAGGGCTTGATGAGCGGGATGCAAGTAGACATGTCTCGGTTAGTACTTTTATGAATTTCCAATGAGAAATTGTGTAAATAGGGTGTCCATTGGCCAGGTAAACAGGGCGAGGCTGGACCACCAGATCATAGTTGTCGGCTGTCCGGTTGGACCCCATGGACAGTCTAGTGTGAAGGAAAATCGAATACAAAATTAGAAGTTTCTCAAGCTCACGAGCCATTGGAGAGAAACCCCCGTGTATTGTGACATGTTTTCTAATGCCATTTTTGATTACAAGAAATTTTTTCTAATTATCTAAATTACCCTTAAATAAGTTAAATTGATCTAAAGAAGAAAACAATATGTACCATAATTAACACACCGATAACTAAATGCTACCAAATTAAGTGATTCTGAAACCCCCCACCTCCCACCCCCTTTCTCTCTCCCCCTCTTAAGAGCTAGAAAGTGGTTTCTCTTGCCAACATTACTAGAGAAAGTGACGGACGCCTTCACCTATTTTATTTTCTAGGGGTTGATATGCATACCAACTCCAATTTAGGTACAGTACCAAATTATTATGAAATAAGTCAAGGAGATGAAATAATCTGAAATTGCTTGGTATAAATGAAAGATGCCAGTTAACATCTATAGGATATTTGGACTTATTATGCAAAAGCATAATATGTAAAATTATATGTTCCTTTTCGGTGGTGTCTTATGTAACTTTTAGAGTAACTCACGTGGTAATAGAGATGAATTATAAATTTAAACATTTTTTAATTTGAATTTTGTCAAACCTTAATGTCAGGTCATGAATAGTTTATCTCTTATGAATTTTCTAGTCCCGGCGTGAATAACTTGTCTTTAATCAAACCGAAGAGGAGATTAGTTGAGGTGTACGTAAGCTGGTCCAAATCGTTGAAAAAAAAAATAAAGAGGTATCTTATGCCAACTGAGCTCGGTGGAACGAGGGTATAGTTCAAGTTGTGGATGGAATTTATCACAGGAAAACCATAAGTAATGGATTTCTTATTTCTCATGCTGATTGACAAAATATATATAGTCATTTAAAACAGCTATTGGACTTAATACAAGTTAAACTTTCTGCAGTTTTGCCATTAAAAGCAGTTCTCAGCAGCCTTTTGCGGGGATGGCCACCATATACCATTTTGTACCCTCTACTGTGCTGACAACTAGCATGCATGCAGATTGGCAACCAAGAAGGAATATGCTTGGCAATGGTTTGATCTCGATTTTACAGCTCAATATGGATCAACTCATTTACAATAGTATTGCATTTTTTATTGGTTTAGTTTTTATTGTATTAATTTATTAATTTGATTCTTAAAATATTTAATTCGTGTCATTTTAATCCTTAATCAAATTAATCCGTCAAATTTTTTAACGAAAGTTATCACATATAATCTTTTTTAAACGGTATCACGTACCCCACATGTTATTATTCCGTTAAAAAATTAATAATCCGTTTATATAAGGACTAAAATGACACAAATTGAATACTTTAGAAATCAAATTGATAAAATTGATATAGTAAACATAAAAATAACAAAAAAATGCATACTTCAAGGACCAAAAGTATTATTAACCCTATAATTAAATGCGCGTTTGGTAACGTTTTTATTTTTTATGTTTTTTTTATAAAAAAAAAACTAGTTTTTATTTTTTTTTGGCGATAAAAATTTAAAATATAAAATGTATTTGGTAATCATTTATATTTAAAAAATTATAAAAATAAAAATAAAATTGATATTATATATTTTGGGTAATAGATCTCTCTCTCTCTCTCTCTATATATATATATATATATATATATATATATATATTAGTTAATATTTTAATCCCAAAACTGGAACACGCACACGCGCACACACACACCAGATACACGCAGACACACACATACATATATATACACACAGATCTCTATATACAGTACAAACAAACAAATAAACACACACATGTAGATTTATATAAAAATAAAATCATATATGTAGATCTATGCCTATATATATATATACACACACACATAGATCTATGTATATATGGTTTGAAGAAGGAAAAAGGGGGAAACGAGTAAGAGAGACGATGTAGGTTTTCATCTTTCGTCGTCTACTTTGGCTTCTTCGTCTTCATTGCTGGTTTCAGAAGAGAGGAACGAGCGAGACAGAGAAAGACAGATGAGGGAAAGAGATTAAAAAGAAAAAAAAAGGAGAAGGGCATTTTATAGTTGGCACAAAAAAAAGTCTCATTTTGTTTCTAAAGAGATTCGAAGGTCGGATCTCGTTACTTATTAACAGGAGTCGCGCATGTTTTTAGTTTTGAATATTTTCAAAAATATTATTTTTTATGTTTATACATTTGGATTTTATTTTCAAAACAATATGACTTAAAAAAAAATAAAAATACTTCCCAAACATATTATTATTTTTTTTTAACAAAAAGTGAAAAAAAAAAAACACAAACATAAAGATTATGAAACGGCACCTAATCAACTCAAGGGTTGAAGATCATTGCGATTCTCTACAAGAGGAAATAGTACAGGGTACACATTAAACAATGTGCTGCAAAGGAATATATTCTAACCATGTATTTGCGGTTACAAATGGCAATGTTGATAGAATCAACAATGATTACCAAGAAAATAAGAGACTGCAGAAAAGGGTCCATTCTGGTTTGTGTTTTTCATGTGATCCAAGGGTGGAGAATGAAAAGAAAATCCAAAGGTCATGATTTCATCAGAAAATCAACATATGGAGTGTGTGTGTGTGTGTGCAACTGTGCATGCATGTATATATCCCTCTTCTTAGGGAACTCCTCTTTCCAAGACTCTTTTTCATGCATGCCACAGTGGCGAGTTCTCTGGAAAATCTCTTCACGTACAACACACACACACAAACAAATGGAAGAAGTAACCAGTAAGCAGGAGAAAGTTGTGGTAATGGATGACAATGGTGATAGTGTTAGTGGTGCTTGGGGAGGGAGAGGTGGTAGTGGTAGTGGTGGTGGTGGTGGTGTTGAGGGATCGTGTTCATTGTCAATGAGTAAAACTTTGTTGCTCAAACCAAGAATCAGAAATCACGGGTATCCATCTAAATTTTTGCTAAAGACCTTTGAAATGGTGGACAACCCAGAAACAAACTCCATTATCTCCTGGAGTCCCACTGGTACCAGCTTGATTATATGGGATCTTATCAAGTTCTCAGAGCTGCTCCCCATCTACTTCAAGCACAACCATTTCTCAAGTTTCAATTACCAACTCAATAACTATGTGAGTATCAATCTAATCTTTCTATACTCCTGACTTCTGTTTGTGTTGTTCATTGGATCTTAATATGTGTGTGTGTGAGAACTCTTCAGAGCTGCTCTCCATCTACTTCAAGCACAACCATTTCTCAAGTTCATTGGATCTTAAGACTTATTGTTTTTTTGCTGATGTATGTGTTCTCAAATGGGCCTTTTATTTTAAGGGCATTTCATATATTATCTGCCTATAGTTTGTCCCCGAAACACATTTGTTTCCCTGTATTTCAGAAACCTAGGCATTAACCCATGTAGTATATGAATGTGTTATTGAATGAGAGACAAGAGGAGGAATTTACTTGGTTATGGTTTGTAATTGAGTAAACTTTACATATAGCCCTCAAATTATAATTCCTATGCTAATTAAGTCCCTAACTTTTTTTTTGGTCAATTGAGTCTTTGAACCCTCTAATTGTGTTAATTAAGCCCTTCTGTTTGCCTCCGTTAGATTTTCTAACGGAAAGTGGAGAAGTGTGCAACTCACGCGCGACACAAACGAGTTGAAGTAAACTATGACTCTTGTGTCAATTAAGCTCCTGAATTTTATTTTTGTGTTAATTGAACCCCTAAACTCTCTAATTGTAAGTCCTTCTATCACGTGAATAGCACACTCTAATAGAGGCAAACAGAATGACTCAATTGATATAATTAGAGAGATCATAGGCTCAATTGACATAAAACAATAAAGTTCAAGGACCTAATTGATACAAGGATCATAGTTTAAAGGTCATATGTGTAGTTTACTCTTTATAATTTTATTCAATTAAGAAAAAGAGTTAATTTTGTCCAAATAAAAAATAAAGTGTTGATAAAACTGGGTAAATGAGTCATTTTCTACATTTCATTAGTTTGGATGGAAGTTTGGTCCAAAATCAAAGAGATTATGTAAAGATTTCCAAAATATGAATCTGTTACTTGACCAAATCATAGGGAAGTAATCCATTTTGTCCTTATTTTAGGTTTTTTTTTTTTTTTTTTTTTATGGTTTTCTCTTTTGAATTTGAGATATATGTTAGAATGGGGCCTTGCTAGTACTTGTGCATTTATATGGTACACATTTTCTTTTGGTGTAAATATGTGTGAAGGGGTTTAGAAAAATCAGTTGGGATAAATGGGAATATGAGAATCCATTGTTTCAAGAAGGTAAGAAGCATCTCCTGGGCAACATTCAGAGGAAGAACAAACAAGTCTCTGTAACCAAGAAGCAACAAGTAGCGAAAAACCGCTGCTTCGATTCGGGGGAGGAGTTTAGGGTGAAAGACAAGCTAGAAAATGTGAGGAATGATAACATGAAATTGAGAGTTGAAATTCAGAACCTGAAATTGCAACAAGAGAATATGGAGAATCAGTTTGCTGCCTTAGAAGAGCACATGGCAGATATGGAATTTAAGCAACAAAAAATGATCATCTTCATAGCCAACAAATTCAACCCATCTTTCTTTCAGCGGTTTATCCACCAGCTGAGGCGGAAAATGGAAATCGACAGCACTCAGACTGCAAAGAAACGGAAATTGGTTGTGCCTCAAAGCACTGAAAACTCAATGGAGCCTATGGATATGGATGCTATGGACACTACCCTTATTAGTCAGAACATTGATGGCGAGAACCAAGTTCAACACGATTTTACTACAATCCAATCAGAATCACAAACAGCGGTGTCCTCTGCTGATAAGTTGGGCAGTCCAATTCAGAACCAGAAGGCTAATGCAACCTCAGACATAAATGCTGAGGATTATCCATGTTGGAATAAACTGCTAGAGGATGACTCAATGTGTGAAAATGAACTAGAAAGAGAGCTAAGACTGGCTCACTCGAAGATGGTCATGGAATTCGAGGATTTGATCGAAAAGCCAAGTGTTTGTGGCGTGGAGGAAGAGGGGAACCTCGACTTATGGTCATAAATTTTTACAGTATGATCTTGCTATCCACTTATCCAGTTAATTAAACATGATGTCTTTGTGATATGTAAGCTCCCCCAATCACTTTACACTGGCTAAAAAAATCCAAACTTTTGACTGTCATGTTTTTTTTTGTTAGTTAGTAGTACTTTTAATCTCTAAAGTATGTCTGTTTTGTCAGTTTGATCTTTTATTATATTAATTATGTCAATGTAGTCTCTAAAGTTTTAATTCATGTCACTTTGGTCCTTAATCAGATAATTCGTCAAGTTTGTTGATGGAAGTCACTACGTATTATTTTTTTCAAATGGTATCATATGTTCAACACGTGATAATTTTATTAAAAATTTAACAGTTTGTCTTTGTATGGATCATTTAAACACAAATTCAATAATTTAAGGACCAAATTAATAAAATTGATACTTTAAGAGCAAATATGCTATTAACCCTTCTTTTTTTTTTTTTTTGGTTTGCTTAAATATGGCTCTTTTTTTTAAAGTCGTAGAGTATCTTGAGACGGTATTATTCTATAAAACACTAATATATTTACACCCAAGTATTACTGAAAAAACTAAAAATAAATAGGTGAAAGTACAACCACCAATCCCACCATTTAATGGATAGACTTTTTTTTTTGAAGATCTGGCAGTGTCCGCCACCATGAGTGAGAGAGAGAGACCGCAGAGTGCGGTCGTCTGAACTTTTTATTTGAACATTAGAGTTTTGAGTCTTGAAATTTACGTTGAAATTCGGTGATTAATCGTTATGTTAATCTAGTTAGATTCGTTCCCAAGAAGAGTAATGAGTGCTGTCAAAAATTTTATGATCCCACTAATGAGAGTCTATCGAAGTGGTCTTTGGGGCTTATTCTTTGTCCCCACCCTTTTTTTAAACGAGAGAGATAGAGCCTCTAATTACTTTTCTCCCATATAACAGGAGGAATAATGTTATCGAAACTTAAAAATTTGACTTAATTTATTGACATAATAATGTAATTTTATTGTAATCATTAAATTAACATCAAGTTTTAATGTTTAATGGAGCCTACCGTCAATGAAATGACTATAATAAATTAAGTCAATAAATTATATTCCAATAACATTTGCTCTAATGGAGACTGTGAGAGTTGTGAACCGGGCCAGTCTTGTGTGAAGTTAGCCCAAACTTATGAGATAGCAGTATGGCAAGCCACTCTGGTGTGGTGAACCCAATGAATGGGCCTAAGTCTGAAAGTCCAATATGGTCCAACATTCTAAAGTTCTAGAGACATGAAATCATCAAACATGTGGGCCCACGTTCTCATGGTAAATCAACTGCCACGTGTCAGAACCCTACCCTATGAACCTAAATGGAAGGGGTGGGACAATATACACAAGGATTGGATAATGATGTAGTAGACACTGAGACATAAAGGGCGGTTGGTTGAACATGGGTTTCTTAAAGCTTAGGGGACAAGAATTTTGGGGGTCTTTTCCAATCAAAAGACTCATATAAACCTGTCAATTTGGGGGGAAAACAAGCACTATCTTTATTGGTGATGTCAATTTCCATATATGAGTGATGGTTTTGGTTTCATGGACTCTTCTAATCTTATCTTATCTTCAATGTAGGAGATGAAAAACTAGGTAGGGGTTGCTTTTTTTGATATCAAAAGTTGTTGCAATTGTTGTTGGTTAATGTTGATGTTAAAAATTGGTCACGAAACTCCTTGTAAGATAGAGTTGAGAGAGATAAAAAGACACCACTATGGTGCCGACAAATGATTTTTCCATGCTCAAATCAAATTCTTTTGAGTAATTGAAATAAAACATAAATACTAATAACTTCTCGTTTACTTATGTGTATGAATAAGATTTATGTATCTCGTTCTTGGAGAATGACTTCCTAACATTGAAATAAAACATAAACACTAACGTTGAATAGTGTGCTCGTGGCATGGAAACTAGATATTGATTTGGCAAGGATTGGCTCGTGTTCTCATTCATCAATCCCAACATTTGACAAATTACTGATTTGCGATGAATTTGAACTTCAAAAGAGGGCTTTTCTTGAGTGTTCGACCTGAATTTTAAATTTTGGATTTTCTTTAATTCAAACCGAACTACACTAAGGTCAGAGATCTCACATATCAATTCACAAGTTCAATCAGCTTTAGATTTTTGGCCAACAATGGATCTTAGGGGCATACGAACGCAACCCCTTTTAAATTTTTCTTAACATTATATGTTATTTGTTATGTCTGTTCTAAAGACTTGTCCAAATGATTCCCACACAATTTCTAGGTTTGTCTCAGCTTTCAAACATTTGTAGGCCTAGCTTTTTCTGATACATCAAACAGCTGTGGACTGAATTCCCATTGCTCGGGTTGTAGTTTATCCAATGGTCCTCTCTCTCTCTCTCTCTCTCTCTCTCTCTGGGCTACCTTAAAGCATGTTCTAATTAATGAATGTCCTGCGAGTGTTTTTGTCACTTTTCTTGTTGGTCTTTTATATTTGGGACCCCCTTTAGTCATAGGGTCTCAACAATTTCAAATATGTCATTTCAAATTCAAATTTTCTTCCATATATATACTTTTCATAAAAAAAGTTAATGCTAGATTGCTACTGTGAATTCAAATAGGATATACCATACATAAATGGGCAATCACAAGCCTCTAATATTCCCAGAGAAGTTTTTTCATAAGATAATCAATTCATCTTGATCGGGTCTTTTTTATCTCTTGAGGACTTTATAAATAGGGGAGATTTAACTTACTAAGTGAAAGAGGGGAAGACCTCATATTATGTATAAGTTTTATCGTTGTTATTAGATTGATAAAACAACGTATATATAGGTGAGAGTTGATCAACTAAAGCAACCATCTCATATTTTCTCCGAATCGTAGTAGACCTAAGAGATGCAACTCGTAGAGGTACGCACATTCAATTTAGTTAGTATTAGTATGCTATGGACCTTATGATCAAATATTAAGTTGGCTTCCTACGTAATACTCATTATCGATAGATATAATTGAAGAATCGTGAACTAATTCCTATAATTTCAATACACAAAATTCTCATTATTACATAATTTTTAAAAAATTATTTATAAATAGTCTTATTATCCCAACTTCGAGTAAACTATTTCTATAACTCAAACTAAAGGGACAAAATTACCAATACAATTTATAACTATAAATAAGTTGAGCATAGGGGTGTCAATTAGTATATGTCATGTGCCACATTTGGCGTGTATTTTTGTGTTCTATCATTTTTTAATTGTATTATATTAAATTCGTATTAATGGGTTAGAGTTGACACTGCTATTAGGTATAGCCACTTTAACTACTAACATTTTCTTTTAAAATTAGAGGTACTCAAATTTTTGATTGGCTGCAATTTCCTACCTTATCTGACCCTACTCTACTCTACTAAACGGCTAGCTGCAAAAATCGAGTATGAATGCGGAAGAGTTTTTAGTCTTTCGATTAAATCAGATAGAAATGCGGAATACCTATCAATTTTCGCATTCCTACCCTACCTTACCCGCAAAAAATATATTTAAATTTTTTATATTTTTTTAGTAATTAAAAGAGTATTTGTGTAGTATAATTTATATTATAACATTGTTATTGTTGTGGATGTTTGAGTTGCAAAAATATGGACTTGTTTTTTGTGTAGGTTACATGATTTGTGGTAAATTAGTAAACTATTGAAATAGTTATGATTTTAATGTGTTTCATATGATTTAAATTTAAAATAATTATTTGTATTTGTGTAACAATTATAATAGATTGATGTTCATATTTTCTTATATTTTATTGTAATTGTTGTTATAGTTGTTTTAAGTTTTAGTGTTATTAATTTATTGTGTTGTTAAATTAGTGCATGTTATTGAATTGAATTGTTAAAATGATCTAAAAATTAATAATTATAAAAGTGTTTACCCTATTTCCTATCCAATTATTCGAGTAGAAAATCAGATAAGAATACCACACCTAATCAGGTAAGATAAATTAAAAAAAAAAATTTTGTAAAATATCAGATAAAAGACAATATTTCCTACCGATCGTCCGGGACAAACGCCCCTACTTAAAATGAACAGAAGGTTGGAAGCATGTGTTTTCTATAAACCTATTCCTTTTGCATCAGTGAATACTTGAATCCCCCCATACCCAACTTTGAATGGGTGGGACCCACAAACTAGCGCGAGGGCCAACCAGCCTTCCTGCACATGAATACACAGTCAACATGCCACTAGAGCATTTATTAGAGGAGCTGTTGCTCTTATATTTTATCACATTAAGTGACGTGGAGCCTTCAACTGTGTTTGGTTTTGGGGGGGGGGCCCACTTGTGGATATTTTTTGAAAGACAATTCTTACATAATTTTGGTACTACCAAACTTTTATATGATGCATGACCTTTGCCTAAATTCATTGAAATTTTTTTTTTTGGGTCAAGTAATGTTATACTTATTTAATTAAATATAATTATTAAATTACTTATACGATGGTATATTAGATGAAATTCACATTTAATTCAAGGTGAGAATTTTATACTATTAAAAAAGCGTTGTTGATTAAAACAAAGTTGTTTTATTAAATAGAACACCATTGTTTTGGTGTAAAATGATGTCATTTTAATTAACAATACTTCTATTATTAAAATTAATATTAAAGAAGTCGGTTCCATAATTAATATTAATTAAAATTTTAAATTAAGTTTAAGTAATTTTTTTTAAGGTGTGTCTCCTATGGGGAAGAAAATGACATCCTTAGAACCCGAGGGACACAGGAAAAGACACCGTTAGGTTGCCCAACTCGGGTGTATAATCGATTTTTGTAACCATAAAGTCTAACAGCGGGACGTTGTAACCATCACCATTGTATGCTTGGAAAAAAATGTCGCCCAAAAAAAAAAAAAAAAAAATTTGGTTGCCGACTGTGGGGTCACGTGAGGAAATCACGTGATTCCCGACTTAAACGCACGAGCCGGTGGTTCTGGCAACAGAAATAAAAAAAGAAAAGAA